TTTTTTCTTTTTTTTAGGTTTTTGTGCCCTCCTTTTAATTTCTCATGCTGTGTGGTAAGCTCATGATTTTTTATCCTTCTTTTCTAATATAAGATGTGAGCCATGAAGTTACCCCATAAATACTACTTTTGCTGTATCATACACATTTTATAACACAGTGTTACTATTATTACTGACTTCCATATATTGCATAACTTCTAGTTTGTTTTCTGACCTTGAGTGGTTTAGAAGTTTACTTTGAAACTTCCAAAAGTCTGTGGCTTATCTGGTTCTCTTTTTTGAATCCTAGGGCTAGTTATAATCATGCCACTAAATTCTGGCCCAAGGAAATGGACAGAAATAGTATGTTCAAATTCTAGTTTCTACTGGAGGGAAATTACCTGCTCTCTCTTCCTTTCTCTTGTCTTGTTACAATGCAAATCTAAGGGCTGGAGGTGGTTACAGGGATCTTGGATCAGGAGTAGGAAGCAATATATGGAGGACACTAGAGCAAAAAGACCCAAGAAGCCTGGATTCTGACCCCATATCTGCCACAGACACATTATATTTGGATCGTTACACAAGAGAGAAATTACTTTCTAGCTTGCTTAACCCACGATCATTTTTGGATTTCTCTGTTAACCAAAGTCATGCCTAATTCTAATACAAAGGTATGAGAATATCTTGGGATTAATGGAAATGAAACTAATGACAAATTTGAGCGTAGTCATGAAAAACTGAATTTACACCTCTAAGTGGAACTGCCTTACATTCCTTTCAAGCTTCCTCAAATGACTCAGACTGTATTGTCTCTAACTCCTCTTCACCCTTGACCTCCCACTACTAAGTTCACTAATTCCCTTCCCTAAATAAGGGCATCCATTTGACCCTGCCCTTCTGGCACCAACTGCCCAATCCCGCATTTTCCAAGCACATTTCTAAACGTGGTTGACCTTCAGAGTGAATGTGCACTTTCTTATTCCTACCTTTCACCACTGCCTTCTATCCTGCATCCTATTGGGACCTTGGCGTCCCTACACATGACATCTGTCACACTGCAAGCCCTGATTCAAAACCATTTTATGGGGGCATGTGGGTGGCTCAGTCAGTTAAGTGTCAGACATGGGCTCACGGTCATGATCTTATGGTTGGTAAGTTCAAGCCCTATATCGGGTTCACCATTGTCAGCACAGAGCCCATTTCAGACCCTCCGTGCCCCTCTCTCTGCCCCTCCCTGTTTGCACTATCTCAAAAATAAATAAAACATTAAAAAAGATTTTATGCTCCTTATAAAAGCTAAGTATAAATAAAAAAATAGCTGTGTTACCACTTTAACTCTCTGAGTTGTAGATAACTGATAGCAATGCAAATAACTCTTGTTCCTAGACAAGCAAATCAATGTTGTCTGGGGGAGTTTCAAGGGATTTCCTTCCTCCACTATGGAAGAAGCCAGTTTTGCATCTATTTTAAATGCATGTCAGAACTCTAGTGCCTACATATGTGTGGCTCTTTGCTCCTTTAGGTCAGTTTTAGCATTTTATTCATCCACTCCTTAATTAATGAGTTAAATAAACTCATTTGTCATGACTTCATTTCATATTTGTATAAGAGTCGTGATTTCATAATTTTACTTTTTTTTGAAAAACAGTCTTTTAACAAACCCTTTGATTCCTTACTATCTTCAACATTTAATTACAGCCCCAACATAAATGCCTTCTCTGGCTCTTTCTGCCTCACCCTGATTCTCCACTTTCAGTGGTAAATCTAATCTCCTCTATCATGTCCTCAAAGTACAAAATCCATGGTTTTTCCTAGAACCTGGACCACGATAATGTCTTATTTTATAATTTTTTTTCTTTATAAAAGCTCCTACAAAACGCACTGTGTTTCCTTCATGTAGTATAGACAATGTATCTTTAACTTACATCATTAATCCATTTACAGGTAAGTAACTCTTCTCATTTCAAGTACAAATTGCTTTGGAGAACTGATTATGGTTTTTTCCTTTTCTCCTCCATTGTCCACACAGTGCTTTATAATGTACCCAATACATATCCACTGCTAGGTCTCACCCATGGCCCATCAGTTGGGGCTCTCCATCAAAAGTTTTTCAGGCAATTACTTAGCTTTATTTGGGGGTATCAACCTGCTATATTTTGGCTAAAAGTTGGTTCCTTCCTAAAAAAAAAAATCACATTAAACTTAATGAAGATCATAAGAACTTTTGTGAAACATTGAATAAAGTTTAACCCTATTAAGAAAGGCTAGGGAAAAAAATAAATTGATTTGCTTCTGGAGAATTTTTTTCCTTCAACTATTAGACTGGTTCTGTGTATACCTGTGTACCCTTATGTGAGCATCATATATGTACAATTTGACATTAATTCTTTCATTCTACAAATGTTTACTGATTGTCCAGTATATATCAGGAATGTTTAATAGGCCCTGGGATGCATCTGCAAGTAAAATGTAATTTCTAATCCAAGAAGCTTACATGCTAATGAAGAAGGAGAGGAAAAAGTTGAGGAGGAGGAGGAAAAACAGACACATGGTCCTGACAAGCATTTAGATCACTGGGGACAAGCCAACTCAAGTTGCTCATTATGATGAAAAGACCGTCTTATTTTCAGGTGTTATGACTACTGAACCTTTAAAATCTCCTAATGAAACAAGGAGGTTTCAAACTTTTGCATATTTGTATCACCAGAATATATACCCTACATGCAATACCTTATGTTAATACCAACCCAACCAAATGGAAACCACCAATACTTTTCTACGGTTTAAGTGCTGAGTTGTGAGAGAATAATAAATGATCTTGAGATTACTTGCAGCATATTTGATTTTATGAACTATAAAACACTTTACCAGATGAATAGTCTACCAAGTGTATTAAATCTGCTGCTTATAATGCCATATGAAGTCAAAGGACTTCATAATATTTGAGCATTAACATTATTACTGAGCATTTTCATTTTTATGGTTTTACTTATGATAATTATTTCAAATTAAAACCATCTTGAGAAAACTGCCACTGTAAAAAACCTTGTCCATTTAATCAATTTTATTTTTCTCATGATGACTTTTTATTTTTACCTTTATTCCTAAAGGGATGCTTAGAATAAGGTACTTATTAAGGTCATACTCCATAGTACTTTTAGTAAAGAGATTATATAAATAAAAAGACTAACAAATACTAATAAAAGTTATAGGTTTTGGTTGCTGCGTGCATACTTCTCAGCTTTGCACGGCATAGTGGTATAATTAAAATGATGAAATAAGAGATAATAAGCAATCACATAATGATAACCTAACATTTGTTTGGCCCTAAACATGTTCGGATATATCTTCTCTCTTAATTCTCACAACTTGATAAAATGCGTTTAATTGTTATTATTTTCAGTTTTACAAATGAAGGAACCAAGAAGTGATTTGCTAAATGTTGTATAAGTGGCATTTTATATGCTGAACCCAAGTCCTCAGACTCAAAATTTCTATTTTTGTTCATACTTTTAAAAAGAGTGTTTAATTCACAAGCCAAATCCTGTTGGCAAGACGCTTCCTAAGGGTAAGTAAAATATATGTAGAAGAACACTAAACATTTTATTCACCTACAATGTCATCATACTGAAACTGAGAAGGTCAGTGTAATTTCCAAATGGCCCAGTTAAATCTAAGAAATAGATTATTTACCCACTAGGGTCTGGACACTGTCAGTCAAAATCACTTGCTTACACAGGACTAAAATGTGCCCCATTAGCATCTTTCCATTCCTCACACTCACAAAATAAATATTTTATTCTTTATTGGCCATATTGTTTAAAGGCTTCTTTTTTTTCCTGTTCATTAAAATCATAGAAAGAAAACATAAAAATCGCCACTAGTCCCAAGCCACTCTTAATATTTTGGGTGCTTGCTTTCTTAGTCTTTTATTTAACACAAAATATTCAATATTTGTATCATACTCTCCATATACCTGTATATACTACTCCCCCCTCACACATGTGTAACAGCATGGAAATATTTACTTTTTAAAAATATGACTTTACGGCTGAAAATCTTTCATCGTAAGGTGGTACCATAATTTATTTTACATTCTTTCAATTCAGATGGTTTTTATTATAAGAAGGCTTATTTATAAAAGTAATATAATGTTTTATAAAACTTGGAAAAATAGAGAAAGGAATGAAATCACAGCCCTAACTCTCATCTAACAAGTCACTGATGAGTTTTGCTACGTCTCTTCTATTCTTTATTCATTTGCCTATCAATACATGTTATTATTGAAGTAGACACGATTTTATTTTAGTTTTTAATTTGTCTTCTATTACTGCCCTTTCCATAATCATAGTGGCATTTGGGTGGAAAGTCTACACATTTTTCTAACCATTTGTTACTCTATTGCCAGACAAGAAGTTGTCCCTTTTTCCCTAAAATCATTTCAAATAAATCATTTTACAATAAATATTGCAGGCATGTCGTCTTTACATTCATGCACCTTAAGAAATGTATTCCCTAATACTAGATTTCTGCAAGGAAGAGTACTGAGAAAAAGGCTGACTAGCTTTTAACATTATTTGGGTAGTGGTGAAAACAATGTACGAAAATACTGAGGTTGACTATCTGGACCCCCTCAAAGTATGAGCAGAATCCCAATCTCCACTCCTTGTCAACCAGTCCTTTTAGTGATTGGGAAATACAGAAACAAGTAGATAGGATATTGATTATATTCAAACTAATTATGTTTTCCATAATTTAGGACATCTTGGTATCATCATTTTTGAGAGAGCAAGTGACCACTTAAATATACATATTTTTGTTTTTTCTATTATTTTCATTTTAAAGGTCTGTATCCACCTACCTTTCAGGTATAGTTTAGATTAGTCTCTCCCCTTTGAGTCCTAGATGTTGTTTTAGAAGTGCTTTCTGGAACTGTTTCTTTGGGGAGGGGGTGCTCTGAAATCCACACCAAGAAACAGCAGTAATTCTGACATAAGGAGGAAGAAAATGCCCCAACTTACCGTTTCTAACGCATTTACACGGTCCTGCAAATAAAGCATAATGTATAATTACAAACACAAAGCATTTAAAAATCATTTCAAGTTTACCTAACTTTCAGATTTTCTGTTTATCTTCCATTTAAATAATGTATTTAAAAATATTTAAAAAATAAAAACTCCTATTCAGGATGATTCATCAAAATAGTCATGAAGGAATCACTCTACTTCTTATCTCAGCTGGTGTTAGGACTACAAGACTTTACAGTAAATATCATAAATTCAGATATAATTACTAACTAGAATAGACCTTACCACTTCCGCCTTGGTAAAATTATTGATCTACTTAAGGATTTATAAATATCCATAAATACTACACATTTGAATATATAAACAGCTAGACAATAGTAGTGATATTAAAAAAAAAAGGACGAGAGAACACACACCAGCTCTCAGGTATACAGCACAAAGTATGACTTGGAGAGTAAAGTTCAGACATAATAACTTTATGAATTAAAATTAAGAAGGGGCGCCTGGGTGGCTTAGCCGGTTAAGCGTCCGACTTTCACTTAGGTCATGATCTCGCGGTTCGTGGGTTCGAGCCCCGCGTCGGGCTCTGTGCTGACTGCCAGCTCAGGGCCTGGAACCTGTTTCAGTCTGTGACTCCCTCTCTCTCTGACCCTCCCCTGCTCACGCTGTCCCTCTCTCTCTCTCCTGGAAATAAAACATTTAAAAAAAAAAAAAAAAGCTATATGACTGGTGCGCTTGAGTGGCTCAGTTAAGCGTCCACTTCCGCTCGAGTCATGATCTCATGGTTTGGGAGTTTGAACCTGGAATGGAACCCTGCATCCTGCATCTGGCTCTGCACTCAGGATGCAGGGCCTGCTTGGGATTCTGGCTCTCCCGCTCCATCTCCGTCCCTTCCCCCATGCTCCTGCTAGTGCATGCTGTCTCAAAGAAAAAAAAAGTTAAAAAAATTCTACATGATTAAGTAACTGGTTGCATTCTCAAACTGACAGTTATATTCTCTCAACTCTTTTCAGAGCTGACAGCTACATAGAGGAAGTCTTTACCAGATTAAAAAAAATGCTGGATTTGAGAGAGGAGGGTCTGAAGATTTAGGAAAATAGAAAGCCATCTTTCTTAGGAAGATCAAGGCCACTTTTCTTCCTTTTCTTTCATTTTAAGCAGTGGGAGGAGATGTGTGAAATCTGGATTTCTTTTTTGTTTAAGCAAATGAGTCATTTGTCCTAAGAGGCTAAGGACAGCTCCCCTTTTAGGGAGGGTACAGAGAGGGTACAGAATCACTAGCTCAGGTCTCCTGTGGTTCTACAGGGACCCGCATGGACCCAGGACACGTAGAAGCAGCAAGAACTTGGTGCTCACTTGGTGCCCAACCCCCAGCCTCACCTGACACACAGAGGCCTTGCTGTGAGGACTTCTGCAATGCAATCCCCAATCCTCGGACTGGGAAAACGAGTTGAACGTTTCTACCCGTTAAACATTTGGCTATGTGGGTACAAGTTAAATGAATATATTATGCAAAATCTGCCCAAAGCAGACTGTTCTTAGCAATATAATCTGTTTAACTGCGCTTTGTTGGCATACTGGAGAGAACCTCACCCTCACCCCCATGACTTTCGTGAAATAACTGCTGTTTTGTTGGTGACCTATGTACTGTCACTTTTGAATGCTTCATAATAAATACATATAATAATGCCTCAAGGGGGCTTTGATCTGTTGTTCCAGGCATCTTATTCACAGTGCATCTGGGACAGAACCATTCAGCAATGCTTTATCATCCTTTGCAGATTGAACAGAAGACCTCCTTGGACACCTTATAGAGATGGAAATAGCCTTTGGGCAGGATCACATTTATATGAACCATCTTGGAAGCCTCAAAAATATTTACAGCCACTATCTGGGCCTTAAATTTTCGCCGTAACATATATTTATGGGCTCTTGTTTTTCAGGATTAGCACATTTTAAAAGAACACAGGCAGCTAGTTTGAAATCAGAGATTTCATATAATGTCAAAACAGTAGAATTAAATTATGTCTGTCCTAATTCAGATCTCAGTGTTTGGCAAAGATAAACTGAAATAATTTATATATTGGTGTCTTCACTTTACTTGAATATTTGTTACAAGATTAAAAAAAATACACACTGTCATGAACTGCACGTTCATATCTGTTCATGTATTTAAATACGTTCATGTATTTAAACTCCAATCTCCAATGCTATGTAATTAGATCATGTGGACAGAGTCCTCATGATTGGATTAGTGCCCTTATAAGAAGAGACACAAGAACGTCTGCTTCTCTTTCTGCTCTCTGCCATGTATGGGGATAATGAGAAAAGATGGCCATCTACAAACCAGGAGGAGGGTCCTCACCAAGGATGGAATCTGCCAGCACCTTGATCTTGGACTCCTCACCCTCCAGAACTATGAGAAACGTTTGTTGTTTAAGCCACCCAGTCTGTGGTAATTTGTTATAGCAATCCAAGCTAAGATTTGTGCCTAGTCATTCAGACAATGAACACAATTGGTCAAAGAAAACTCCATTTTGTTAAAATATAAAGATGAATAAATGATGTACTTCAGTGCAATTTACTTATGTCTTTTCATCTATAACCCACTTCATTCCAAATTGTACTAAGACAGCTTTCTATGAAAAAATGTAACATGTTACTAAAATGACAAAATTGGGGAAATAAACAATTCGGGTCATTAACCTGAATTTAAATAATTCAATTTGCCAATCAACAGTGGCTAATAGAATACCAGCCATTATTGCCAATTAGGGAGCCTCGTCTAAATTATAGAATTGTTTGGTCTTAATTCTGGGCTATAAATAAAAATAAATGACTCCTAGTCTTTATGAACTTACTAACTTGCTCTGAAAATTTAAGAAACGCTTTCTGAAAATTTAAATGTTTGACTTCTTTTTTGGCAGATAAGATTAGTTATTATAATTCCGTATATAAAAAAATTGGGCTACTGCAAGTATTTATTCTCAAACAAAATATTTTCACACTTCCTCTCATGTTCTTAGTAAAATAGAGGTAACTTAAGCCAGTGCTGTGGCATTGACACAGCCCATGAAACGAATGCCAGTATATGTCCGAGAAAGGACATATAACTGCACCACAATAAATTATATTCGTCTTAACCTCTCCCACTCTCACCAGAAGTGCAGCCACAGTGTTTTGTTGTTGTTGTATAATCTCCAATTTTCATGTCAACACAGTTTACCTTCAAGTCCAACCTGAAGGGTCAACTCTTGTCCCCCTCTCCCCCACCTCCGCCCCAAGCAGGAACACACACTTCCATACTTGGATCCTGAAAAGAAAAGTACTGGGGCATTAAAAGGAGGGTTAGAGGGTGGGAGGGGCTGAGAGAGAAAACAGCCTCCAGAAACAGTGAAGATACTCTCACTACAGTCATGCTGTTTCAGGTGGTTTTGATACAACAGTGGTTCTTATTTTTGTAGTCAGGAACTTGGAGTCTGAGGAAACTTGATCTTCTCCCCAGGAAAATGTACATTATCCACAACATACACATAATTCTGCGCACACTTTTAGGAGAATCGTAGACTCTCGGGGACCCACCGATGGGCTTCAAGTCCTTTGAATCTCAACAAAAGCATTTGAAATAAGATGTAAGAATGTTATATAAATAAATTATTCTATTAAGCCAAATCTGTTCATTTCTTGTGTGTGAAGTATTTCCGAATAAAGAACACTAATAACAAGGAAAGAAACTGCAGCAACGCATCAAGATTTTGTCTAAAAAGCTGTCAGTAAGTATCCCCTTCAACATGTTGACCCCCTTATCCAGAAAAGCCAGTTTAAACGGATGTATCTTTTCCTAACCTAGCAGGAGTATCCAGTAACATTCCTCATTATCTGCTTTTCACTCAGGGTGTGGCAAATCCTCGAGAGAATCAGAAGCAGGATTTACGAATGGAGTCAAAATATGTGCATCTCTGATCTATTCTCTCATCTACTACCACTAGTCAGGATAGAGATGGGACGCAGTTAGCTGTTCTGTAGGTTTCCTCGGCAACACTCTGGTTGCATTTTTGGTTTACAGTCTTACTGAGAGGTGATCACCGACCCTTATACTTTGACTGTGTTTGTGTCACTGTTTGACCTTATTCAGAGAAGTCAGAGACTGTGCTTACACCAAAGTGGGATGCGTACATGCGTCTCGGTGGTGGGGAAAGGAAGATACAGAAAACGGGGCTCTGTTGATTTATTTAGACAGACTTCCCACTGGAAAATGCAGCCTGAGAGGTGAAGTAGGGTTTTCCCTGAAGTTCCCTGTAAACACTTCCAGTCAGTTGTATAAAACTAACACCAAAAACCTCTCAGATTTACCCTTTGTGTTTCAGATCAGAGAGCAAAGCAAAGGTTTCTTTTTCCCTTTAAAATGAAGAATCGAGTTAAGATTCCTCCTTAATGCACAATATAATGTGGTTCATAGGTGCCTAGAGGTTAAGACTACAAACCAAATATAGGGCAGAAGACACAAAACTGTCTTTCTTGCGAACTTTGCAGTTCCACAGTGAATCTGCTGGTAATGGGTAACAAGAGCTCAGCGAATGACATCTGGACTGGGGAACAACTAAAAATTATCTGCAGATAATATAAAGGCTTTGATGGTGGCGAGGGGCAATGCAAATGACAACTGATGTTAATTTCAAAGATTGACTGTCCCTCAAAAAGAGATGCAGACACAGGAGTTGAGTAGCAGGGGAAGAAACAAAACCCCAGAAACCAACACACAGTATTTTCCCCCCAAAGATTTACATTTAAAAAAATAAAGTACATGTCTCCAGTGGCAAGGTTAGTCATATATCAGCTGAATATGCTCTGAACTCTTATGCAAATCATAGTGCACTAGTGATTATGGCATAATTTATGAGTGGGCTTGTGTCATGAAGAATTTGTGGGAAACAATAAGGTATGCTTTTTTTTTTTTTTTCAGGGTGTGTATCTGGCTGTCACCAAACATAGCTCGCCTAATGAGACTCCCTGAGGCTGCCATCTCCTTTGATTCCCTCAAGGGCACACATCTTCTGGGATTCTAGGTGAGGAATATTCACAAAGAAAGTCACATGGAGCCCAGGCTCCTTCTTCCTGAATATTTCAATCCTAGCACTTGATGGTTGACTATCACGCAGGTCACAAGCTGAATCATGAAATGGTACAAACAGTCCACCTTTGGGAATTAAACTGCTTACCTTTGAACAACTCCAATAATCCTCATCTCAATTTACACGCAGTCATTTATTTGAGCGTTTTCAGGGATTAAAGCACAAGGAACCTATGGCTCTCTCACCCTCATTCCCATATGCCTTCCGTGGGCTTCTGTACAGTTACCTCTCATTGTTCTATACTTAAGAGAGAGGCTGCTGATGAGGATAATCAGACATAAGCAGATGGTTTTAAAACAATGTATTTGGCTGACACGAGTTATGTTTTTCTTGCCTCCTATTCCATTTGACTAAGAATAAAACTACTATTAATCTCCATTTCCTGATATACAAGCACAGGTAGGAAGGGAAAGGTCGTTAAAGGATTTAAAACTAGCCTCAGATTATCTGTACTCTGACCATCAATGGTGCACTATTCTTAGAATCCAAGAAAACCGAGGAAAAACCCCAATAACTTAGTTTCTAGTTACACTTCTGAGACGCATACCTGAAGGCTGACTTAGCTTGCATGTGCTAAAATAAAGCAGACGTATTTTGACTCTTCAGTTCCAAATATCCTAAATATTCCTACCTATGAAATACTTAACTGCTTTTTCTTCAAATTGAGCTTCATTCTGATTTTTCATTGCAGTCTGACTAGCATCTTCCCAAGGTGGAATTTTAAACAGTTGCTTTGGCTGTTTGAGAGAGATGTGAGTAAAGAAAAAAAGTTGGAAAGCTCTATTGTCTTAAAACATTCGAAAGCACTATCAGTAGTCATAGCTATAAAAATAACACTAACATGACTATAATAATTTTTAATAAATTTTTAATTTCTGCACTTAGAAAATGATATCACACTGTGCTCTTAAAATGTTTCCCCACATAACTCCTTACTCAACGTACAGGCGCAAATTTTAGAGAAATCATTATTTGAAATTTAAAACAGTTTACTCTTCAGGTTTATAGAGCTCAAGTATCCTCAAACTGCCTTGCTTACAAACATCCTGAGAAGTAACTGATGCTCACTTCCAAAGTCTAGAATGTGAAAGAACAAATAAGGTGGGCAGTTGTAGCCAGTAATGAAAGCTACTTTTAACACTTATAACCTTACCTGTGGATAATGGAGCACTGATGCAGTGTGATTTTAGGAGTCCAGAAAGGTCTGATCACTCAAAATTATGTTTTCCTTCCATTTGCAAAATTATTAGAACTTCCACCAATAGAAATTTTTTTCTTGCCTCCCCCTACTCTAGTTTATCTTTAAAAGGCAACAATTTTGGGAGAGAAAACCATCAAACTAGTTCATTCTCAGGCAGGGGTCGGCAAAGTAGGACAGTAGGCCATTCTAACCTGCTGCTTGTTTTTATAGGCCCAGGGGCTAAAAATGGCTTTTGTGCTTTTATTTGGCTGAAGAAAAAACAAAGTAAGAATAATATTTTATGACATGTGAAAATTACATGGAATTCAAATTATTTCAGTTTCCCTAAATTATTTTTATTGGAACAAAGCCCATTCATTTCTTTACATATTGTCTATGGTTGCTTTCTTTCTATAATGGCAGAGGTGAGTTGTTGGGAGACAGCACATAGCTTGTAAAACTGAAAATATTTAGAATCTGACCCTTTACAAAAAGTTTGGCAACCCTCTGTTCTAAGGTGTCAGTATCCCATAAGAAATACTTACTGCCTCACAGGAGGAGGTCACCCTATAGCAAAACAACCCCTGTAAGCTTCTGGAAGGAGAAGATAAGGTGAAATATACTGACCAGGGACCAGAAAAGACAATAGGAACCAGAAAATCTTTACCCAACTTTTAAACTTTAAAATAACATTTATGGGTGCCAGGGTGGCTCAGTCAGTTAAATGTACGACTTCGGCTCAGGTCACGATCTCACGGTTCGTGAGTTGGAGCCCCGCATCAGGCTCTGTGCTGTCAGCACACGGTCCACTTCAGACCCTCTGTCCCCCTCCCTCTTTCCTCTCCCACTGCTTGTGCTCTCTCTCAAAAATAAATAAACATTAAAAAAAATAAAACATATAAAAGTTGTATATGCATAAATACATATACCAGAATATAAATCATTCCTCAGGCCATGAAAGTTTCTTCTTTTTGTCCTTTATTCCTTTTATCATCATTTTTATTAATTCCTTCCATTGTCTTTCCTTTTTTCTTCTCTCTCCCCCTTCCACTCACTTATTCATTAAATAATTCATCCATTCATTCACATTTATTGAGGCAGATACTTTTTTGGACACTGGGAACACAGTTATCAACAAGGGAGATAAGATCTCTCTGCCTTCCTTGAGTTTATATTCCAAAGGAGTAGACTAAAAGATAAATAGAGAGGACACCCAAAGACTGTGATGGAGGGTGAGGGCAGAGATTTACTTTAGACAGGTTGGTCAGGTTAAGTTCCCATGAAGAGGTAATACTTGAGCTAGAACTCAAAGGATGACAATGAGCCATCAGTGAAAGAGCTAAGGGAGAAGCATTACAGAGAGGGGAAGTAGCAAATGCAAAGGTCCTGGGTTTGCTTAATTTCAGGAATAACAGGGACACTGGTGTGTGCACTGTGGGTATTAAAAAAAAATCCTTTTAAGTTACCAGAACCATAAAACTCAACACTATTAAAAACTTATTATGGGCTGAAAATATTTTTCATTTATTACCCCCCAAAACTCTTAATAGGTGAACATTATTAATTTCATTCATTTTGAAAGTCAGAGAAATAGACTCAAAGACATTAAATGTAGTGATTTCCACATTGTGGTTGAGTTTAGACTGCAGTGCAGGTCCACCTGACTCAAAGGAGCCTATACTAACTCTCAAAAACAAATTAAATCCACATTAAGAAACATATATGTATATATTTAGCTATAAAGATGATACATTTTTCAAATTATTATGAGGGCTATATTCTGTGTGTAGTGGAGGTTAGGTTTTACACTGGCAAACTGTTCTAGAGCCTCTTTCTCAAAATTACACATGACAGAACAGCATTCCAGAACCTTAATTTTGACAAATGTCAGGTGACAGTGTAACAAAACACATACCATACCACAATAAATTTTAATGTTCAAATAAAAACCATTATTTGTACATATTCTTACAGTTATTTACCATATCCTCAGATGGGATTGTGTTTTTGTCATAAGCCTTTCTTAAGTGAGTTGCAACTGCTTCTATTTCTGGGTCTGACATTAGGCTAGTTGAAGACACACAGCCAGTACTACTGGGGATATATCAGGAAAAAGGATAAAGAAAAGCAAAGATCTAAACTTAATTAGCTGTGATGCTGTACAGCTGAATGGCACCTCTATTGTGCTGGTCTCCCAATTCTTTCAGGTCTGGGCTGCAGGAGTGAGATTCATTACCGAGCTCATAAATGGCCTCTGCCCCCCCACCCCTGTTTTACTGATGACAAATTTATTAGTTCTTTTCTAACAGTGAAATGAGAACTAGGGATTTCAATTACACCCAGAATGTAGTAAAGGCATGGAATCTCTTGTAGGTAATATTTTTCTATTCCATTTTATGAGCAAATATACAAGTACTGTTAATAGACATTAAACGTTATTTATTAGCATGCTAATAAGCCTTCACACTTTTAAAAGTAAACACTAAACTTCCAACAAATTACATTTAGAAGAGTAAGTGTAATGCAGATACTCTGGAAAAGGAATGCCCTTCAGAATCAATTTTTAAAAACCCAAATCATCACTGATTATGATAAAAAGACAAAGATATGAGGAGATGCTTATTACTCATTCTTTCAGCTCATTTTAGTTTTATCACTTTTTGCACAATTTAAAATTTATGCAAACGTTTTCAATGTTGCCTTTAATTTTTGCCAGAATATTTTGAACCTGGTTTAGAAGTGAAATTGAAGAAGCCCAAGGAGGGCTTTAATAACAACTTTCTTTGGTCTGTTTATTTAAAGCACGATGAATAAGCAAAAAGGAAAGGTGCAGAATGGAAAAAGGAAAATGACTCCTCTTCTCCTTCCTAGAAGTGTTTGAGATTACTGGATTGCTCATAATCTTGCACCAGGAATTAAAATCTTCCTCACATGCTAAGAGTCTCTCTCTCTCTCACACACACACACACACTGCCCAGTTGCCATGCATACATAAAGCAGAGAGCCTAAGGGTTTGCAAATAGTTCTAAAGTTAAATAGGAAAGCAGTAAGGAGTTTCACTAATATTAGTCCCCAGTATTGCCCAATTTACATATTGCATTTTGTACAAGTCATTTACCTTCTTATAGTCTTTTTCTTTTTTTTTTTAAATGTTTTTTTTTATTTATTTCTAGGAGAGAGAGAGAGAGACAGCGTGAGCAGGGGAGGGTCAGAGAGAGAGGGAG